ACAATTGCTGAGAGCATGAATGATGACTTAGCATGTAAGATTCAAGTTTGCTTGCCGATTAAGAAAATAAAAGCTTTGACTCACTCTGAACAATCCAGCAAAGGACTCCACTTGAACAGTGCTACATCTTGCATTCCAGGGGTCTTGTGCATGTTCATAGCTGCAACAAATGGTTACCTCACCTTACTGAACATGCTATCTTGTACCCCTGGCCTCTACTTGAGACGTTAGTGGCACTTTTGAACAACACACCAAAGACGTTTCTCCTCCATCAGCCCTGATGACTCTCGTTCCAGGGGTCCTGTGCATGTTCATAGCTGCAACAAATGGTTACCTCACCTTAGTGAACATGCTATCTTGTACCCCTGGTCTCTACAAAGGTCGTCCATATTTCAGCCGCCTGGCATTACATCCAGCAGTCCACTGAAACAAAATGAAAATGGACACACTGCAATTATAACACCAACCAATGAAAAGCAAGGGTAACTGAACATTACCCTGATTACTGCTTGTTGGAGCTTCAACTTAAACTAATTGTTTTCTGAAGTGAGGAATTATGTTTGGTACCGGTATTTGCTTTGAAAATTGTTCCAACTGTGATGATTTTCTTTGAATTTTGGATTTCAAGAGCTTCAAACTACAACGACTGTTCATGCTGCCCCAGGCATTATACCTACATTCTTCTGTATGTGCCGTAATGCTGGAGTTGATCAACATCAGCAAAATATTGAATCCTCAAAAAGTGCAAGACCAGTACTCAGGGAATTCTTTTAGTTTTTGAAAAAATGGAGGTACAATATATACCTACATCTTATACTACTAGCTCCGATAGAGCCTCAAAATCCCAGTCCCCTGTGGTGTGTGTGTGTGGGGGGGGGGCTTCAGCATTCCAAGCTATTGGGTAGTCTAGTCCGAGTCCCCTCCCAATGACAAATCGTGGGTGTGCCACAAATTTGGGGTTTACCAAGACCAACAAAAACTGGTCAAGACCATGCAGTCCTTAGACTGATGACCCAGCTTGCTACAATGTATACAGTCATTGCTTGTAATCCAAGGAGATGGAAGAGTTCTCCAGACAGACACCAGTAATTATTCCCTCAAGTGACCTTTTAAGCCCTCAGAAAGCAAAGCGTATCCAGAAAAGTTCAATTTAGGAGGGAAAAACCAAGTTGTTTACTTAGAAAACACTTAAAATTTTCTGACCAGTCTCATAGGGTTTGTGCACAAGGTGTCCAGTGGCGTCCGTTTATGGAACTCTTTCTGGGGCAGATCCACCTCCCAATTTCTTTTTTTTTGGGGGGGGACGACATTTGCAACTTATTAATTGTGGCCAATAGATTCCTTTGTTGAATGATTTGCTCATTTACTAGTCTAATTCTTTTTCACATTTGTGGGCCTCGTTACAGAACCACCACCAGTTTCTGATTAAGATGGTTTGGTAGAGGGAACTTGGATGGGAACATGAATGAGGTCCTGGCGGGGGGGGGGCTGCTTCTTAAAGGCACATACAGAAGAGTTTAATCTAGCATTTTACGTGTACTGGTGAAAAGTTACTCTAAATTCGGGGAAGGGGCAGTTATGCCTTAAGGTTCTACTTTTGAGTTCTTTTGAGTTGCCCAATAACATGGTCAATGACTATCCTGGAGGCATATTCTAAACTACTGAAGATGTTGAAAAATTCCTAGATTAAATTAATAAGCAGTTGTTTACATAAACAAATGGAGAAAGAGTTCCATATGTATGTGGACGCCACTTGACACCCCATGCATAAACCCTACGGAACTGGTCTAAAAATTCTGTTTTAAAGTATTTTCCCTCCTAAATTGAACTTTTCTGGACACGTTTTCGGCTTTCTGATAACTAATAGGTCACTGTAGGAAATAATTACTGGTGTCGGTAAATGAAACTCTTTCTGGGGGGAGCTTAAAACGTGGTTTTGAATTCGCCCTGCCCATGCAAGTGAGCGGTTAACACGAACAGAACTCCCGGAGTCCCACGCGCTAGAGATTGTGAATGATTGTACAAAAATGAACTACACCTACCTTAAGTTCAAAGAGCGGTGTCCGTGTCGGTTTTAACGGCAGAAAGTGGGAGCATTCCTCCAAATTTGGCCCCAATGACCTCTGAAATGCTGTCACTGCATTTTGGCCTAAACCTTTGAGGCTAAACTGTCAACTTTCTTCAAGACAAGTTTGCAACCCCGGTCAATGTAGCACGGTCGTCGTCATCCTTGCCCGCGAGCAGACGAATGCGTCTTCACACCACGTGTTGAGCTGCTGCATGACAGAATGCCAGGTGAAAGCTTAACGCAGGGTGGCTATTGGATGGAATGTCTTTCAGAAGAGCTTTCTTATGCAAATCAGATGGTTGCTCTATCTTTGCACTGTTATTTTATACGTTAGGCGCGCTCTGAAAATGGACACCGAAATGCGCGCAGTCGACAGTTGGACTCGCTCGTCCAAACTGTCCTTTGGTGAAGATATGGAGACGAGCGAGCGCAGTCTTGAGAATCAAAAAGTGGAGCAAAAAGTCTTTTGCGAGTTAAAGTTGAATTAAATCAAGTACACTGAGTTATCTGACTGCATATAAAGATAACAATTTGAATTCCCCACATTCAAGGCACTATTTGTTGTAGGCCTGATCTCATGATTCGCGGCACTGCACAGCGACTCCCATTAAAATTCAAGCGCGGTTCTAGAGCAATTTTTTTCAGGAGGGTATACCCTTCGTATGCAGTGGCGTGGCAGGGGGGGACTGATGGAACGTGCCCCCCCCACAAATTCCTGGTGCCCCCAGGTGCCCCCCAGGTTCCCCTCACTCAAAAAAAAACAGATGAATGGATATTGAACAAGTCTAACAACCCCCCCCCCAAAAAAAACACCACATCACTGAAAGCTGGTGCCCCTCATCATAAGATGCTGGTGCCCCTTTCGCCCCCCCCCAGTAGAATCCTAGCTACGCCACTGTTCGTACGTGACGTCACCTTTTAACTTTCGGTACTGCTCTTTCACTTTGGGCAACAAAAATCAAACAATAAAATAAAACAAGAAATAAAAAAAATCTAATGTATATTGCACATAACCCTGCAAAATGGCCAGAGACTATTCGTTTCGTTCGAACTGCACCTGACCACGATCCCTGGAATGTAGTGGCTCTTTTGTGCCTTTGTCCATTGAAAACAGTGCATTGGTGCAAGGCGTCTTAGGTAACGAAACAAAAGCATGTCCATAAATCAGAGATAAAGCAACAGTGTCTAGGGGTTAGCAAGGGGTTACCTTGCATTTAATGCATTTTTTACCAGATTTTGACTTTCCTTCAACCCACTCTAAAATGTTTGTAGGTGACCCAGAACGTGTTTAAAGGACTTAGAGGCGTTTTTTATGCAAGTTTCAAACAAAATTAGAGCTCAAATTGTGGACCGGAATTTAATAATTTTGTAGGGGGGTGAATTTGCCAAAAAGTGACTCAGATGCAAAAATACCCTTTGATTTTTCACCAATCTTTGTTAAAATTTACTATTCATCACCCATTTGCTTACAAAGAAATTATGCTTTTTCAGACCAGAAATACTTTTTTAAGTTTTTATTCCTTTTTTAAATACAAAGCACAGATACATTCATTTAGTGCTTTTTTATTTTCATACCCTTGTTATAATAAGTAAACACTTTCATCAAAGCTTACATGGCTAGGGTTACTATTAATATTCATGAGCATAAAATATGACCAATCTCTGAAGCTAGGTTGTGTGCGACCCACTGAGCAGCTATCAACCAATCATGGCTCACAGAGACCATTACATCATCGTCAACAACAAAGCTGATTGGCTGAGCCTTCCTCTCATGCAATCCTCACTTTAACATCACAGACACTGCGACGGCTATGGTGTTTCTGCTAATGGCACAAAACTTTTGACGAATACTTCAACATATACTTTTCGTGAAGTATTCAAGCATAGCTTTTATAATCATCATTTGTAAGAGTTTGTTAATTCGTCTTTGACTTGATAATACATTTAACTTTTGGTGTCACGTGCAAAACAGTTATCTATGAGGGACACAAATTGGCAATAAAGCTGTCATCTTCCTCAGCTTTTCTCACTGAAAACTACATTTTGGTTCCTCTATATTTTTGGGTCCTTCATTTTTTACAGCACATATTTAGAAGTTACTGTGTGCACAATAAACGTATTGCAAACTTCTTGTCATTTTCTCCATACGTCACATTAGATTAATAGAATACAATAAAAAACCAGCACCCATTGCTTATCTGCCATACTGGTACCCAGCAGTTGGTTACCAATTTACATTTACAAGCCAAGCACTCAAAAGAAGCAAGACAAAAACAAACACACCCTGATTTTAAAGAGCCCTTTGACAGAAATCATTTGCTTTGATGCGCCGTTGTTAGGTATTTCATTGCACATAAAAACTCTCACAACATGTATTGTGTATATGCAATATCACTAATACAGATTTGAATTGTATTTTCTCACTTGAAAATGATGAATATTGCTTCTACTGTGATGAGACAATATAAGGACACGCGATTCATTGCAGTGTTTACAAACAGTAACTTAACAAAAAAATTTAACCCGTGAACTGAGCAAAAAATACAAATTTCAAAGTATAAAACTTAGATCAAAAGCTGGTTTTTTTGCGGCCCAGTTACAATTATATAGTGAATGAGAAACTCCAGATTTTTCATATGTTTCAACAAAATGTTATTAGGGCTAAATTGGTAAAATGCCAAAGTGGATTTCTCAGTTAAAGTCAAACACATCTTTTCAGCAATTTTCCCTTCTAAAACTACATTAAATTACTTCTTTATCCATGATCTGTTAGAATCACAGGTTTGACAGATTTTAAAAGCAAAGTATTTCAACGGCTCCCCAAAATAAGCAAAATCACAAACAGCAAATAATTTAAATAAACATCAAAATTTGTATCCCATATAAATTAAATGGTCACTTTATCGTAATCATACCAATTAATTTCAATAATACTATACATTTTTAATATTATGATTTATAGATATATATATTTATTGAGAAAGAAAGTTGACACGTTGAATAGAGATTTCAATTTGGAAAATTATGATGTAGCAATGAATGGCCAATCTTTATAAAGGCAGTCACCAAGTCCTCTTAATTGATGTGTTGTCATTAGTTGACTTTTGGACTGTGGTTTCAAACATGAACAAGAGCACAAAATGTCTTAAACTGAAATTTTTCCTTTGCAGTTTTTTTAAGATTTGAAAGTCACCTATTTCATCCTAAATAGTTTCAAAACAGCCTGCTGGCTTTCCAATGTTGAGATTTTTCCTTCACAGTGTACAATTTTTTTCTGACCTGAAGTTTAGAGACATGAAAATTACAAAGAGCTTTAAACACTGAAAACTGATTCAACATTTTGTAGCTTACAAAATATGGCCACAAGCACCCTCACCATTTTTAATAATTTCTAAAAAATCAATTCATTTTTACTTTCAAATCCATTTTTGAGTACATATGATGGCTCCTTTCGCATGACATGTTACCAAATGTAGAAGATAAACCACTCCAGCTTGTTTAAAAAAACAAACTGAAACGAAGCAGTCCATGCATTCTTCATAACATCCCTTTTCACTCTCTTCCACTCAAATTCCTGCATTTTCAACCACTAAACCTATCGTTTCATATTTACAGCTCTTGACTTCAACTTGTTTGCCTGACGCAATGGCTTATTGTTGCTAAGGGTCACCTTTTTGTGTTAAACATGCTTTACAAGACGTGACTGCCTTTAAACCGGTACATTTATGGTGTATTTACAGAACGAGACAACTGGACGTGTGTAAACTGTACCACAAAGGATTTTCTTATGTACACAAATTTAAAACTGCAGGGCTTAGGCTCAGGTAAGTTTAATGGAAATCACATGCCCACGTCAACTTTCAGCGACAAATTTATCTAATTGTTGAAATTGGAATAAATTCCACATTAATCTTGAAAATTTATGGGTTACTATTCTTTCGGCCACTCTGCACGAAATAGAAACGAGATGTAGATGTTAATCGGGGAAAAACACCAAAAATTATAAATGTATGAAATAACGTTGACCAACATCCATAAAATAAGCTCTATTGTTTCATGTGTTTACTTGTTTATTTGCTTTTGCTTCCAAGTCAACAAACTTGCACAGTCTAACATTTGTTCACATATACTTGAATATTTGTTCCAAACACTACATGAATATTTATTTCACGCACGCGGATGCCACTTTTCACTTTGTCAATATTTTTGTTTATTTTTGCAAAGAACTGGTAAGTTTTCTGATGCTTTTATTTAATACAATGCCATTCTTCACAGTGAAACATGCATTTGATGCAACAGCCTTTTCACAATTCCTTCCAAACACTTCAAGTAATGGAAAACTCTCTTATCTTTTTCCCTTCTTTTGGTGAATAAATATCCAGAAAAAATGTGTCAAAACATTACGGCAATCAAATTTGTAGAGTTTCAGAGCAGGTATGTACAAAAAAAGGAAGTTGAAAATACTTTTTCTTAAGCACACCGCACAGGGGAACTTGACGAAACAAGGCCAGCATTTCCTGAATTATTCAGAAATGCTTGGGACTTTTACTGACTTTTTTAAATTTCCAAACCTGAGACCCAAACTTCACCTGGACTCTGGCACACTTCTCCAGACAGGAATAAAGTCAGGATCGTCACCTGCATTGAGATTTCCTTGCCTGTCATTGGCCGAGACTGTCGCTGCAGTTTTTGTCGTATTGCTGATGCGGTTATCGTTGAGAGAACCTATGAAATTTCAGAGAAGAAACAGGGTTTCTATCTTTCCTCATCAAGTATCATCCCGATGACCAGATTTCAACAATCAAATGTTTTTCAAGTTTCAACATTTTCCGCATTCCAACTTTAGGTTTACTCTGCTTCACGGTATGCCTTCAGATTTTGATGGTCCCCGCATTAGTTGTTAGCAACTGAAAATACCAGGTAATTAATGCATAGTGACAAGTGTACTTGTGCATACTCTGTCTGAGAAGATCTATTAATTTTGTTTAATCCCACACTTGATGCCTTGTCACTTCAACACGTAATGTCAAAGACTCATCAATAATTCTCACAATTGCTGAGATTTTGTACTGTCACGATGATAAGTAAAGTTAGTCCTTTCAAGATGTTGATGAATTATACAGTGGGCAGACAAATCATGTTGATCATGAAGATGCTTTCCGTGGTTGACAGGCGAGTTTTGGTTCCTTCATGAAGTGGGCAACAACAGCAAATACATCTGTATCCAGTAGATGGGATGGAAGGTTGTAGTTTCAGGTTAAAAGTAAACTGGTCTCCCAGTTCCAAGGGGCACAACTGCAAAAGTTTCCATACAAATCACATTGCCGGTCGTTCATCAGTTCTACACGATATGCTACGCGTTCCAAAGGCAGGACTGCTACATTCCTAATACAGTGACGTCAAATCAGAAGTTCAGGTCGATTGATGTAAAAAGCCTGTTCACTCAGGCCACAGATTTCAAGTCATCAACTTCGCCGGGGCCTACGGTCGGTCCATTAGTCCACCACGGGACAAAGTCTGAGCACGAGATCTGAAGAATACGGCAGTTTATCCACGTAAGTATGAGCAGACTCCTCTTCAAGCGTATATGCATTAGAATCCAACACTTAAACAGAGAGATACGGTAGGGACGCTGGCAGGGTGGCAAATGCACACAGTCATCGTAATATAGTTTTCAAATTAATAGTTTTCTTCCGCCATACATGTATGTTCATGGAAAAAAAAGATGAATGTGGACTTCAGACGGCATCTGAAAGGGGAAAAGGTGAATGGTGAGTCAGATTTTTGTTAACACCAGGAAGGAGGTTTAATGTGGAAGGTCGTACTCAGGAACAAGTGGCTTCTCCCTAGATAGCATTAAAAAAACGCTTGCACATATTGTAGAAAATGTGCATTTCTTATTGGAAAAGATTCACACCTGATGTCTGGTGATGACTGCGTACCTTTCATGGAAAGTGAACACAAATGGGTAAATTTTTAAGTGATTTTTCAAAAAAATGGATCAGGAAATGCTTGACATAATTTTTCATAATTTTGGGTGTAGAGGTGTGTACTTGGTCTGTATTTTCTATACAACATACATGTAAGTCACTCAATTGTAATTTTGAGAGTGGACATCGTAAGGTCCTACTCGGCCTAAGACATCTGGCCGAGTAGGACCTTATGTCCACTCTCAAAATAACACATTTAACAGAAGTCACTCAACTGTAATAATGACAAATGGACAGATTTCACACAATTTAGCCACGGATTGAGGGTTGTGGAGAGGAATGAATTAAAATACAGAGAGGAAGGAAACTGACATGGAGAGAGGTGGGAAATGGAAAACAAGCTTAAAAGGGAACATAAGGCATTTGCTGTATGGGCAACATTCTATTGTGAATCGCCGACTGGCTGGTATCTTTCAGTAACTATCCACTTGGGCACAACTTGGCATATACCACAAATGAACATGTGCATACTCACAGTTGAACATACAAGGAAAGCAATGATCAGGCCATTAAATGACAAAGTCAGCAATATTTGACACTACCTGTCACTAACAAGACGGACAGCTACTTGAAACTAAAAGCAAGCATGTTACTTCTACTGTATGCCATGTTAGGGTTGACACTGCTAAAAAAGACCACAGCAACTGTGTAAACAGATGGTCAGCATCATACCACAGCCAAAACAAAGCAACGAAACAAAAGCCTATCTGGCACGCCGTGGATGCAGGCAAAATGAAACTAAAACTCATCAGGAAAAAAAACTAAATGGTACTACAGCACATCTGTCAAGCAATCATGCCAGAAGCACGGTCCGTGTATGTCACAAGTAGGCGTGGTACCTTCGGGTGTCAGGCAGACAGCCATGGGCTGGGGCTGCTGTCCTCCGTTGGATTCCAGCTCGCCCATCGGAGAGAAGGAGAGGGTTGTGGGGGCATCGCCCACAGGGAACCCCGCCATCATGCCCAGATTGGCATTGAGTTTGTCGCTGGCTGAGTCCGGCGACAGCTCCTGACCCATCTCTATCGTTCCCCCATCATCCAGGGTCCCGCCCCCATCGTCAAAATCCAGCAGGGCCTTCTTGGTGATCAGCTCAGTGCTCTCTGGGGCGGGGTCGATCAGGGTCTCCCCATTTGCATTGTTAAAGTTATTATCGGAAGCAGGCACATTGTTCAAGGGGGGCGCAGTTAACCCCGGAGGCTCAAGCTCGTTTCCGTTCCTGGAGGAACCATCACTCTTCTCGTCATCGCTGCTGATATCTTCCTGATCTTCAGGATCAATGTTGCCATTTCCATTTGTGGTCAGGTCAACAGGGATGTCCTCCTTGACCACACCCTCCTCACTGGCCACACCCACATCAGCAACCGCATCACTATCAACACTGCAGTCATCGAATCGTGGCTGCTGCTCAATGACGACTTCGGAATTAACCTCTTCTTTAGCCACATGCTCCTTAACCACACCGTCTGAGATTTCATCACTGCCAATTCCATAATCTTTAGATGCTGGTTGTTCGGTGAAGGTGTCTGAATCGGCCTCTGTATCTGCCCCACCCTCCTCGACCACACCCTCATCAGTGACTACATCACTACTAACACCATAGTTGTCAAATGGTGGTTGTTGCTCAGTGAAGACTTTTGAAGCTGTCTCTTTGTCTGCCACATCCTCAACCACACCTTCCTCCTTGACAAAGCCCTCATCAGTGACTGCATCCTTACCAATGCCATAGTCATCAAGTAGCGGCTGATCAGTGAACCCTTTTGAATCTGTTCCTTCATTAGCCACAACCTGCTCAACTGCCCCCTCCTTGCCCACACCCAAGGCACCAACTGCATCATCACTGACTACATCATCATCATCCAAAGGCGGTGGTGGTTCCTCAGCAGGACCTTTTAGCTCTGGCCGTTCTTTAGCCACACCCACTACCTCTGCCACATCCTCTTCTCTGGCCACACCCTCTACCTCTGCCACATCCTCTTCTCTGGCCACACCCTCCATCTTTGCCACATCCTCTTCTTTGGCCACACCCTCTACCTCTGCCACATCCTCTTCTCTGGCCACACCCTCCATCTTTGCCACATCCTCTTCTTTGGCCACACCCTCTACCTCTGCTACATCCTCTTCTCTGGCCACACCCTCCATCTCTGCCGCATCCTCTTCTTTGGCCACACCCTTGTCAGAAACTTCACCGTTGCCAACCCCAATTCCATCAGCAGGCTCAGTTGGCAATTCTTGCTTTTCCTGAAGGTCATCCTCCATTACCACTCCTCTTTCCAAAACATTGATATCACCTTGGAATCCTGCATCTGAATCTAGCACCTCCATAAAATCTTCCCCATCAACCTGTTTTGCCTCCTCATCTGACCATTCTGGTTTGTCACCGGGGAGCAAGTCTACAGGCCCCGCTCCTCCCCCCAGCTCCATCCCATCCCGGTCATCGGAATCGCTGGAGCTGTTGGCAGGTCCGCCGTTAGCAGTGCCTTCCAACTGACCACCCTCATAATCCTCGTCCTCATCGCCTGATAGACGGTGGTGTGCAAATAATGGAGGAAAGAGGAAGATAACAATGATTTCTCTCTTTCAAACAAACTTGGGTACACGTCAGGTTTTTTCCTTAAATTTTTGCTTAAGTATAAAAACTTGAAGGCGAATGTCATTACTTTAATTTGTTTTTTATTTTAGTAAAACTTATATATAGTAGTACTGTTTTTTTCTGTTGATTGAGATTTCTTTTTGGAAAGAAAGACGTACAACTTTTAAGTCTTTTGAATTTGAAATTCCTTGTGTGTCCAAAAAAAATGCATAAGGTGCACCCAAGACTGTTTGAAAAAGGAACAGCTGGCAAGATCAAAATTGTTAGTAGATTAAGCAGCAAATGCATGAGTTGTCCACACTCCCTGTTGCATGAATTAGTGTCCCTTGTACCACACTGCAAAAGAGAGTGCAGGAAATGATGATTATATAGGAAATGAAAGACACAGTTCAGGAATTGGATGGAGTAAGTTCAAATGCATATAGACAGGACGGCTACAAATTATATGAAACTATCAGTAGTGCTGCTTGTATTTAAAAAAATCTGGTATTCCTGCAATGCTGCAATTGAGATCACGGAAAATTGTGCACATTTGGGTAATTTTTTTTTTTCACTGTAATAAAATTTACCATACTGATTCAGCAATAACCTCATCCAATTTAACTGTAGTAACGATCAAATACTCCGAAAAATATTAGGTCATTTTCTGCCTCTGAACAGGGCATGTACGTCACAAATAATTCATGGAGACTGATGACATTTTTAGAGACTATCCCCCCAAAACCCTAGAATTTTCTACGACTTCAAGAAGCTTCCTGGCTTTGGTCGAGGAGTATACCTGAGAGCTCCGTTTTGTTGCGATTGAACAGCAAGTTGCGATACTTCTCGCTGTTGAGTACACTGCTGCTGGCTAGCATGCTGTTGACTCCATTCGTCTTCCGTTCCGAGCCTGTGGCAGATCCACTCTCAGAGCCACTGTCTCCATTTTCTGAGCCATCATCCTGAGAAGGGAACGAGGCAAAACAATGACAGCATGGGGAGGGCGGAGGACGGCCAATGGTTCAGCATTCATCCTCTTACTTTTGTTCAAACTGAGTAACTTTGACGTGCACTTGCAGACAGAAAGTGTGGACAAACTAGAGGAATGCAAAGATTCAGTCCCCGTAGTTCCGTGGCTAGAGCAACACCATTCCCTATGTAGTAAGTTGAAACCTACTTCCAACAGTATTCTTTTTGAAGCTAAAACTAACTTCTACAGTTATGATAATCTACACATAAAGTATCGCTGCGATCACTACATTGAATGGTTAAAGTGGTAATTGGATTAATGTCTGGCTTCAAATGCAATTAGGAATGACAAAAGTCAGCTGTAAGTGAGGGGACCAACATCCTAAACAAACCCCACCATATTCAGCATATATCTCAAAGACGTACCTTGTCTTTTGCTTGGGCTCCTCGTCTGGCTCTCTTCATGATTTCTTCAACTCTCTGTCAAGAAAAAAGCGTCAGACGACGAAAACCATTAACGGCAGGAAAACCACCTCGTTTGTTTTGTATAATCCATCAACTACTACTGATGCAATTTATGGTGGCTGTCACAGAGACTGACCTTCTTGCGAGCATTTCTCTCTTCATCTTCCCGGCGGCATTTCTCAGCCAGTTCTTCTTCCTGTCTCTTCAGGTCCTCCTGACGTAGTCTCTCCTCCTCTGCTCTCTGTAAAATGATTCCAGAGGATTATTCTTTGTAATCCAACGGCGAGGGATACATGCAAAGGGGCGAAGAGATTGATAATCTTCACTCACCAGGGCTGCTTCCGCCTCCTCAGCTGCCTTACGCTCCGCCTCCAATCTCTCTTTCTCCTCCTTCTCTTGAATGGCTTGTTTCAGACGTTCCTCTTCTGCCTTCCTATGCTCTTCCGCTAGTCTGAGCTCTTCCTCCTCCTGACGAATTCTTTCCTCTTCTTCGCGACGGATTCTTTCTTCCTCCTCGCGTCTGCCAACCAAAAAAGTCCGAAATTTGTACCAGTCTCAAGAAGCCAAGTTTGTCTCTACAGTTTGATACTTTGAGAAATTGATAAAATTATACTTTAACTTGTAGCTTGGCCTACTAAAATTTGAAAATAAGCCCTTTCGGTAAGGCAGCTATTCAGAAAACAAATCCACAATGGAAAACCAAGATAGATACGCGCCAACTTGTAGACTGGCAACCCTCTTTTATTATTCAGACAGTAAAAGGTTGACATGAGTCTGAAGTGTGGATACTAGTCCAAGATGTCTGCACAGCATTCCTTACTTCAGTTGCTCCTGTCTTTGCTTCTCAAGCTCCGCTTCTCTCTCGGCTTTCTCCCTGGCCTGACGACGCCTCTCGGCAAGTGCCTGCTTAGCACGCTCCTCTTCTGTCAGTTCCTTGGCTGGAGGCGGGGCTTGTGCGGCTGGGGAGGCAGTGCCATTGGCTGCAGGGGCTGATCCACTGGATGATTCTGAGATAGTTGGAGACTGAGAACGTGGTGTTTCTGCTCAGAGGGGAAAAAAAATACTGACCATCAGTGACATGTCAACCTGGTACCTGAACATGTTGCAAATGTTCTTGCTAAGCAGACTGCGGCAGGAACCAGTCAAAGCAAAATATACCGCTTCATCAATGAAAGTGGCCCCTGGTGCTATCTGCAAAGCTGTTCAATATCAAAAAAAGAAATTCTGTTAAAATGCTATGCACTGTACCCATCTACGGACTGGTTCTCCACTGATTTTTTACCAAGCAGATATGGGTAAGTGTAAATGATGTGGTTTGTCGACCTCCCGTCGATTTTTCCTGGGTCCCCTTCCCAGAATATATCCAGGGCACCAGGCAGAATTGCCCAGAGATTGACGAATGGTTGATACTTAAAATTGCCCAGAAGCTGCTAAGCATTAGTTTCCATTTAGTAGCTCTAGAATTGCCCACCCTTTGGTTTGGTCTCTGGTTCCACCTCTTCTTTAGCAGGGGCTGGTTTCTCAGGGGCTGGTTTCTCAGGGGCTGCTGCCGCTGCTACTGCCACTTTGACTGCAGCTGGCTTGGCCTGCTTAGGACCCCCTTTGGGTGTCGTGGCAGGCTTAGTGGCAGGTGCCTTGGGAGTGCTCTTTGGTGCAGTCACGGTCCTCGTTGGTGAGCTGACTGTGGACTTGACGATGTCTGTGCGGGGGGTGAGGGCCTTCTTGATGGGCGGAGCTTGACCTGGGGTTTTCTTACCTGGAAGCAGACAGACACCAGGGATGAGATTGACCAATGATAAAAAATAGCTGAAAACGGCTGAAAAAAGGCATCAAGAAGCCGAACTGTGAAAATCTCCAATTCTTTTGTACACAGCCAGTGAGGGAAAAAAGCTGAAATCCAACACACAGAAAAAGCTGAAATCAGCTAAAAAGCCAAGAAATCTTACCCCTGAGACACAGATGTTGCCAACATCTTAACTGCAAGATATGGGCTCACCATTTCAATTTCAGCAATGTCAAAATGTTACCGGTACCTGTTCATGCAAAATGAGATTAGTTTCCTACTACCTGCTTTCACAGCCACAATTCCCTTCACGGTTTTCTACCAAAATATCGGTCAGTTTCCTACTACCTGCTTTAACAGCCACAATTCCCTTCACGGTTTTCTACCAAAATATCGGTCAGTTTCCTACTACCTGCTTTCACAGCCACAATTCCCTTCACGGTTTTCTACCAAAATATCGGTCAGTTTCCTACTACCTGCTTTCACAGCCAAAATTCCCTTCACGGTTTTCTACCAAAATATCGGTCAGTTTCCTACTACCTGCTTTCACAGCCACAATTCCCTTCACGGTTTTCTACCAAAATATCGGTCAGTGTCTTGTAACTTGACCCACAACATATGGCTACTTGTAAAAGATGTGTTTACGAGTGTCGTAAACAAAAGGTGATCAGGTAACGTACTAAGGCATCAATTCTAACCTTCTGGGGGTTTCCGACTGCTATCCCCATTTGTCTGTTTAGGTAAGTTACGTGGCGACTGCACCCTGCCCGGCCTAGGTTTGCTGCCGTCCACTGTGGTTGACCCTTGACCCGCAGCTGTCTTTGGTGATGGTGCACGGACAGGGGTGGCTCTGGGTGTTGAAGACTGTTGCCTTGGTGATGGAGGCCGCCCGTGTAGAGAGGTGCGGGGTGATGTTCCTCTCTGTAACAGGAAGTATAATGAGTGTCTGGATGAGGCACACAAATTTTATACGTACAAAACAGTTTGGGTTAGTGAAAATAGGTTAATGAAAATATACTGCTAAGTGTCCAAATATGTATGCCTGTGACTGGTTCCCAGCTTGCTTAGCACGTTGCATGATTGCTTCCGCTTACCAACTCAATGACATTTATTCCGTTGATAGCTAAATAGGAAATTACTCAATCTTTAATGACCTGATAAATAACCTCCCTTTTATTTTGGGTATTCCCTGTACCACCTCGATCTATATAAGCACTTTAAGCTCAGTGTTCTTCAACAAGTTGACAGGTTAGACTCCAAAAGCTTATTCAGGTTGGAATCAAGCCCATTACCACCTTGTCAGCACTGCAGATATTGTAGCAATTGACTACTGAGAGTCCAGTCACCTAGCCAGTCCATGTATGATATGGCAACAGAAAATTACCTCAGTAAATGACAGTTGAAACTGGATTGTCATTTGATATGCTTTCATACTCTCCTTTTACAATGCAATCAGGATAATGAGTTAAGACACTCTATGTCCGACATGTCAAAAATTCAGTGATGTTGAGAAAATTCTAGATGCGTTTTTACTTTTAAAAAAATGGAAACACCTGTGAGGCGTTAACCCTAGTGCTGCTAAGGGCTTATTCAACCGAACAAATTCTCATGAAAGCAAGCAAAAGCACCCTCTTATGACCAGTGTTACGTACATGTAACCTCATAAAAGCACAGTACTTCAAGAACATACCACAAAATGCAGCTGTGGCTTGCCCTCATTATCTGCAAAAAATTCCTGTACAAAAATCAAACAGTACTTTACACCTAAAAGTTGAAATAGTTTTTTAAAATGTCACTACATGGAACTGCAGGCATGGAAATGTAACAAAATTCAAAACTCGGTAAGAAACATTAGAAGGAAAGGATAAACATGGGAACAACCTCCCTTAAAAAAGATAGCTCTTGCCTTTGCAGGTGCTGTTCCAGATGCCGGCTTTCCACCCACTGGACCGGACTCGCTGTCTAGTTTTGAATTTGAATTGGAGCGTTTTGTTGCCGAGAGCGGTCGTGAGACGTGCGTCGGCGTCGAATGGGCTGACCTACTATCCCTGTTTGGGTAGGCTGCTGCGAAATGGACAAAGGAAAAAAGAACTGTTAGAATACCATCATCAACTGCTGGACAACAGAAATATGAAGTTTTTTATTTCCCTTTGATGCAGTCCTTGTTAAGTTCAATGAAATTTTGTTTATATTCCCATGGTAACTGAGATTTCAGGAATGTCCATTAAAAGTCAAATTTCTGTAAGTGCAAAGGGATGACAACTGTGACCCAGTGTTAAATTTACAATTCTGTTCCCACCATGTTTCCTGAGAACTTGAAAAGGTTTTCTCTGCAAATACAAGTCATGTTGTTTTCTGCTGAATGTTCACGCAACAAAAATGTTTTTTAGTTATAATCTTTGCTTCTTCTCAGTAAAAATGTAGTACATGTAATTCCAAGCAGAGTTCCAAATTTAGGAAATCACTACAAGCAAGGCTTTCTCAATCAAGCAAGGTTCCAATCGTTATGCCCGCACAAAAAATTGAAGGACTGCACTGATCCTGAAAAGCATGAATACATTCAAGGATACCTGACAAACAAACCCACACTCATTTATCCAAAAATACCGAGCCGACTAATCTACACAACACAATACGGGTGATTCACAAGAGTACACCACCAAGAGTTTGCAACACGTTGGCCAATCATAATGCGCAAAATTTGTCGACCCTTTCCAAACGTGCAATGGGTCAACAAATTTCACATATTGTGATTGGCCAATTCGTTGCAAACTCTTAGTGGTGCACTATTGTGAAACGGCCGTATTCAGGCAAAAGCATGCAGCTCTGTCTAAAGCAATCCCCATTAGTCACTCAGGAATGTGACAAAATTGCAAAAAAATGTGAAAACGAGAGTAGAGAGTTGTATGGACAGTTACATGTATTTCTAAATTTGTAAGGTAGAGTGTAAGGTTAAAGATTCTTGTTTCAATGCAGATTCATTAAGAATCCGTCACGAATGAAAGTTTATTATGTACAAAACATTTGATATGTTATATATGATAGCATAATTCAGAGCTAGTGTGACACAGTATGGTGCAGAATGTGCAATTTTATTCAGACCGATGACAACTATTTTAAAGCAGAAACAGAAGACAACAACCTTTCATCCGTGGTATGCTGCTAACCTCGGCGGCCATCTTGAAAGGTGACTCCACAGAAAACCAGGCTTGAACTGACTACACACATGTACACCACCACTGTCGCCGAATCTTGGTAAATGTCACAGCTGAATCACTGATCACTGAATTGTCAACGTTGATCTGATGACAACGGCTGAGTCATAATTCTGCCATTTTTTTTGAAAGGATGCCAAATTTTGGTCCCAGATCTAACCTGGGTAAGCGTGGCAAATTTCTTACCAACAATCCTCATAAAAGGTGTGGCATAAGTTAAAGCTCATGAAATTTGAAGAATACTCCTGATTATTACACTACAATGTCTAATTTTATGCTTCGATGCAGCTTCAGAAATTCTCAAACACCCTCAAAAAAGAGCAACACATGAGCCACTTTACACTTCCAAGAAAAAAAAAATGGCAGAATCACTAAGCATGTGTAAAAATCCTTCCTGAGTACGTGCAGTTAATCCCATAGTCCAACTACGACTTGCACACAATCCTGCCAGCACACGTTCACCCACTAACAGAACTTCCCTCCAACTGACGAGCCTGCCAACACAGACAATCAAATTTCCCACTGACTCCTTCCTCAACAATACCAGCCGGCCTCCCTCGCCATTGTTCCAACCACAGCAACCCCTTTTCTTCCTCTGCCTTTGTTCCCCTCCTGGGCGGAATTCAATACTTTTATTTTCTTGTTGAAGCCTTATCCAGTCAGTCAGGCCAGGGACCCTTTCAAAGCCCAGCTCGGCTTGTCGCACCTGGTACTTCTAGTCAGAGGAAACCAGGGCCCATTCAAGTGGAATTCCAAGGCCTAGGAAGTTCCCAGTCCTTATGCAAACAGCAAAATGCACACAGAAAAGGAAACACAACTTCACCTGTCAACTGTCAGAAAGCTTTTTTCTTTCAGAGTTCACTGAAGGACAAATTTCAGCAATGAGTGTCAATCTTTTTTTTTTTCTTTTCTTTTCTTCAAATTTGGCTGGAGACAGCATCTTGGCTGACCTTTTCCACAAACATTTGTTAAAATTACCACATTTTAAGAGTGCCCTCAGGTAATACTCGTCTGTCAGTAAGCCAGAATTATTTCAATTATGAACTCTGTAATTGTAACTTTTCACAAGATGTTTAACACATTTGTAAATGGAAATCTTTTCAGTATCAAATGTGATGCGATCTGCCAAAACCCTTCACATGGCAAACTTTGTCATTTGGGTGCATGTAAACTTCTAATCAATATGGACAAGCTCATTTTCAGATACATTCCATTTATGATTCTAGGTTATCTATAACATCAATCTGGGTTGTCTGGAATCACGAATAAAACAGTTTTGAAAACAGGACTGTGTCCAGCTCAATTTGAAGTTGATAGGCACCAAAATGACAAAGCTCAACATGTGAAGGGTTTTCGCAGATCACATCACAAATGCAGAAATAAATTTAGAGGTGTAATTCTCACTGTCTTTAAGCTTAGCTTCAAAATTGTTAGCATTTTGAGAATGTTCGTTGTATTGAACTTTTAAAGTGTTGATTGAAGTTTTTAAATCAAACAGAGGACAAATATTGCACACTGAACAATCCTCATGCAATTCCAAAAAAACATGCATTTTGGGGAGAAATGAATTGAACATTTTAAAAAAAACAGCAACAAAATATCGACATTTTGGTTGTGATTGAGAGCTGCTGGGATCAGAAATAAATGTTAACATATTTGTTTTTTTTTTTCTGCAAAAGAATGAACTTGCCAATGATGAGAATGAATTTTTAAACTACCCAACTTCTTCTGGTGAATGAACTCTGAATAAAAAAGGTTACACTTTAAACCTGTATGCTTTAAGGCCCTGTCTAATTTATGAATACTAACTAATTTTCTTTTTTTACCAGGAAACACAAACTCACAAGACGATTACATTTAACTAATCCATATTCCACTACAAAAAAACAAAAAAAAGGATATTCTAATCTACCAAACCACCAAACTAACAAGTCAAAACGGAATCACAACCACCGAAAAAGTCCACTCCAATTTGTTTCATCCTAGGATTCCCAACACCATAACTTACCTCTCAAGCGTCTCCTTACATTGCTCGCTTTACGTTCAAATAAAAATAAAATTAAATATTTAAATCTCCCCTAGTTTGGATTATAAAGTGCAACTTAAAGTGTTCACACTAAGATATTTTTATTCAACCCCCATTTTAGTGATTTGCAAAACATAATTTCAGGTATAGCTTGGAAAAATTTGAAATAAGGGACCTATTATAACTAAACTTAAACTTTAGAAGAGTCTTAAATCCTAATATTGATATTATTCTTTCCTGAATTCCATGCTAAGAAAGCAAAGGAAATGTTGTAAGCAACAAACATCAACAAAGGCTTCAGTAATGCCAGAAATTGAGATGCAGCATCCAAGCATGAAACCAGCCATGGTGACAAATTCAAAATCAATTTAAACATGACGGGTCCACAACAAAAAATGTGCGAAGATAGAGATGTCAAGCAGCGGCCATGTTTGTCTAGATACCTGACTGAATCAAATATATGATTATTAACCCTATGTTGACTACTATTAAACAACAAACAGAAATGTCCAAGCTGAAGGCACCTCCCCAAAAGGTTGCAGCCTTATAAATGTGTGCACAGTAATATTTGGTTTTGTCTTTAAGGGATATAAGACCAAGACAGAAAATATTGTTGACTTTGGGAGAAATAAGCTTTTACCTAAACCTAAATATCAGAAAGCGGCATGAATAACTTACGGTCACAAACAATTTAATTTGTCATGATTACTGATTATAGTACATGTATGTTAGGGGATGAGCACTGAAATGATGAAATTACTGGAGAAAACTGTGGCTGTTTTGACTTAGTCTTTAAAAAGTTGTTAACAATTTCACCCCTGCAATTCAAGATGGCTGCCACTCGAGACAACAAGGCACAACAAATGCTCACCACAAATGCCATGCACTAACCACCACCACCACACACAAAGGTTGAGCAAACAAGGTAAAAAGTATTTGAAAAAAATAAAAGAAAGTGGTAATACATGTATGAGTAAGCAAACCATGCGAGTCGAGAAACTCACGTTTACAGTCAACCAAAAATCATTAATGAATCCGGAATTCTCCCCAAAATTGTGCAGGTGCCTAAAATATTTGGAATTGAACCCCAACCCAGTGGTTAACAAGCACAGGCCTCACCACCATTCAACCACTGAGCCTGAATGACAGCGGTGAGAGGTTCACATCTCGTCTGTATAGCAGTAGATTGTAAACAAATAATTTTTATAGCTATTTAAAGTGGTTAAGTTACTAACTATAAATTATTTTTGCTTTCTCCACCTGTTTGAAATTAGAAATCTTCAGAAAAAAATCAGAAACCTATCTAGTTGAACCCCCAAATATTATTCAGTACATGTTAGTGACAACAAATTTTAAAAAGTTGATCAATGTACAAAAACTATGCAGTAAGGCCCTCCCCAAAAATGGTCGGTCTCTGGTCAGCATGCGAGTCAATTTTGAATGTGAACGTCAATGGTTTTTTTCCCCATTTTTTTTCACAAAATTTTCAAAACAGCGACCTCTATTTCCATACTGCCTGAATGTTCACGAGTAGACTGATTCCCGGCCACAAGTCCACAAGTCCGAAGGGCAATTTGTTCAAGGAACCAGACTAATTCGTGGACAGCTCATACCGGGTGATAGATCTGTTACGACTGCATAATGTTGATGTCAAACACAAACAGTAGACCACGGGTAGGTTACAAAGTTGCAGCCAGCTGATTAACAACAATGGCAGCATGCGGCGTGCCATAACTAGCCTTAGCTCTTTGATCAAATATGCCACTCATTTCCATGTCTGTTCCCAGTCTTAAAAAGCCACCCCCACCCCCCAGAAAAAAAAAGCATTGCCACATTAATTCTGGAACTTTGGTCTGACCAGAGACCAAGTTTTTTTGGGGGGGGGTTATAAACATTTCTAATAAATTGCCAATTAGTCATAGAGATACTATCAGGATCAAGTAAGCAGTCAGGGTTTCAAAAGTTCTTTATGTTAACTAGATGTAACTTACCTAAATATAAATATCACATTGAACAGGTGAAAAACTACAATACCCCTATTTGCCCCTAAGTAATTTAGCACTGCCCTACAAATCTCTAAAAATGTTTTGGCTCCCCTTTAAAACTGAATGTGTAAATACACAGGGCACACAATCTCCATTTTTTGGTAGCTTTTTTAAACCCTTTCATTTGACCTATCATCAAGCAACTGCCCTATGAAATCTTTCTGAGGAGACAACAAGCTCACGTATCCCTGACTCCTAGTTTTAAAGAGGTAATGTGATCCATCTACTGGTCAACGGAGCTGAGATGGTTAGCATAGTTCAGGATAAAGTGGGAAAGGTCAGGTAATTGAAGTGAACTGCTGGGCATTGGGTAACATTAACGATGAGCTTTGTTTTCTTCGTAAGGCGCCCCAGGAGTTAATGTGGGAAACTAAACAAAACCTTCCACTGCTACGGTACGTTCAAAGTTAATGGCAATGTGAACAAATCTGGTTTGAAAAACAAACTCAGCTATTTAGCGGGGGGGTCCTAAAATAAGGACAACGTTTGAGGAAAAAGAAGAACAACGTTTGAGGCAAAAGAAAAAAAATCACAGCTGACCACTGCACTTTGTCAACCAAAAAGGTGCATTAGGGAAAAATTACCACGACAAAATTGGGTATTTGGGTCATGCTCACTAAGAAATCACTTCAAAAAAGTATTGCTGATTTCAATTTGGATTTGCCTTGGGATAACTGAAATGCATGTACAAAAGAAATGAAAAGAAAATAATAACTGAGAGATTTCAAGCACTACAATTTTTTTACCTACATGTATAATCATCAATAATCCTAGAACCAGACTAAGTATTTTAAAAGAATCCTTTTTTAAATTTCAGTTGATATTAGAGTTTTAAAAGTAGTATCTTTACATAATGGAGTTGGAATCATTTAAGAACATAATAGAAACAATAAGACAGGACAGAGACAATGTTCACTGAGTGAAAAAATGGAACCATATCAGCTGGTCCCCCACCAGACAATATTAAAATATGCTATACAAGTTATTGACATGTTATTATGGTATGTAAATTTGCTGCAGGATTAACCACAGACCTACAGGTATATTTGACAATGAGACTACCTAAGCTGCTGAGGATTAGAACCAAACATCTGAACTGCGACCTATGCCAGTTTTTGTCTTGGAGTTTGAGATGGCTTGATGGATCTGGAGAATGTACTTCCTCAATTTAATGACATGAAGAGGACACTTGTGATTGGCAAAATTAATTGGTTACAAAGTAAAGATGACAATTCCGTGACAAAATAGACTGTGTTCATGAATTTTTTCATACTGTCCAGGAAATGAATTTTTACTGCAAGCTATGTTAATACAGCATTCAACCGTTCTAAATTGATTTGAAGTTAAGCATTCTGGTTTATCCTATTATGTCACTGTGTACATGTTCATGTATGCACATGTAATTCACATTGTTGTGTAATAAACGAATGATTCTTTTAACTTGAATTACCGATTAAACATGCATATTTTGGCTTTATGGTTGTTGACAGCAATTTTATGTTGTTTTAGGGAGATGATGTTGTTGTTGTTAACTAGTGTGTCTGGAATGTTATTGCACGTTAACGCCCTGTTTTTAATGTTGTGAGAAAGAAACTGCAAATTGTAAGAGTGCTGGCAAGCACAAGACTTTCGCTAAGCCAGCTTCCTAGGTTCTGCCAAGCAAATTGGGTTACCAGCAGAAATGTAATGCACAGCATACTGCCTGTAACCGGTTCCCGCCCCCAATTCAGCTGAGCGACGTGCATCATCTGCCTAGCAGCTCTTTAGCCCTTTGAGCTGGAGTATTGTGTTTGTGTGCAGTGCCAAGCCAGTCGGGGAAGGAAAATCCCGCAGCAACGTGTTGTTAGGAAATTTGTGTTTTTTTTGTCAAAGACTGTGAGCTTACATGCAAGGTTAGGTGAGGAGAGGTGGTGGCGGGGGATGGTACTGCTACTGGCAGGCAAAGGGGTGGAAGAAGAATCAGGATTCTTGTCGTTGCCTGGGGATGATCCGCGACGAGAGCGTGGGTCTGGGATGTGAACCTCGAACCAGTCATCCTCGTTGGGCCCAAGCCGCACCAGGTGCACAGGGCGGTGCAGGGCAGAGACAGAACTGGACAAGCGCTTGCTGGCGCCCAGGGTCAAACTGCCGTCGGGGCTCTGCCGTTCCGTCATCCTGTCGGTGCTGCGACCTCTCGAAGACCGGGGAGTCCCACCGCTGGGGACCGGGGAGGAGTAGTCGCGGGACCCAAATGCGCTCCAAGAACGGCGCTTCTCGCGGGCGTTGTCTGAGCGCTCCCTGGAACGCCTGACAATGGCTTCTTTACGGGCCTGTACATCAAATAAAATCACCAAAACAGAAAACAGAATTTAGCACTGAAGCAAACAAAAGCTAACCTATGCTTTGTTATGGAACTTAAGACTTTGCCATCAAGAAATTTTGCAGGGACCAGTTCTTCAGTAGTAAACCAATCAAAGCCTATTAAAAACAAAGTTTAGTTGAAAACGTTTAAAATTTTCTATTCACTCATCAATTTACACAGGCAAAACGGTCAAGACATGACAACATTACAAATTAGAACAGTTTGTACCCAGCCAGTTGTCAGGGTATACAAAAATGTTGGAGCCTGGACAAGATCTACGTTTACCATCAACCAATCAGATTCCAAGATTCACCGATGTGGATTCAAAAATCAACCAATCTGCTCACCTGATCCTCCTCTTCTTGCTTCTTCTTCCTTTCGAGTATTTCGGCCCTGTGATCAGTCGCTTTGTGCCGGATACTATCGATACGTTTCTGTCGGTCACTGAGCTGTTGTTGCCTAAACTGATTGTTCTTATTTTCCTTTTCCTTGAGTTTTGAAGCATCTAACACTGCAAAGACACGGTACAAAGGTAGATTTGGAGAAGGAGTCAAGACAGAAATCATCAGACCTTTGAAAATATGAGATGGACGCTGTACGTCAGACTTTTGTACACAATTTTGAACCAGACCCAAATGAGTCAGCAGATGGGGGGACAGCTAAGCTATCGACTAGACTGGCATGACATTACTTGAGGCTAGACGAAGCAATCACTGCGCAGATAAGCTGGCAAACAATCAACAACTGTTGGAAAAACTAGGTTGGTACTCTGAGTGAGGACCAATTAAATATTAACCAGGGGTCGAGCAGTCTATTAGGCTGAACAATTGGGTAGCAAAACATGATTAATATTTAGTGACAGAACAGTAGGGCTGAGTCAAAGCAATATTCCATTGTCAATTAGATCAAATATCTGAATATTCGGTCTTACCGACCGGCAGATTGTTGATGATTAAAGCATATACAAAATCAGTTGCTATTATGCACACAATTGTACATTATAATCACTAAATTAGCTTCTCACATTGAGCAGTATCTGTAGTCATGATTTAGCAAGATTTAAGAAACGAACAATACTTCTTGCCCTTGTGAAATTTCTATTTGTTTTAAACTTTTTAATGAATAATTTACCTTTTGAGTCATTGTAAGATTTCTGTCGCATTTCATTTGAATCTGCTTTTCATTTGAACAAGCCTCCATAGTGCAATTTTTCTCATTGAAAACAAAAGAAAATTTACCCTTCCTTTTCATGAATTTTGCATTCATACATTTAAATTTGGAAAATAATATTCGAATATTTGATCGATTATTGAATATTTGGATTAGCCCTACAGAACAGCATGAATAATACATAAATCCTTAAATCTGATGAAGAATGTAAAGATCAGAAACCAAACAAACTGATGACTTAAACCTGCTGCTTCAACCTGCAGTTCAACAGCAGTTAGTGGCCCTGCACAGCTTCACTGCCTGGGGCCAATTTCACAGAGCTGCTTGAGCACAAAATTTGCTTAAGCGCAAACAAACCTTGCTTAAAAACAAAGGTTACTAGCTCAAAATCTATGTGATTGTCATGCTAACCAAACGAAAGGTGAATACTATTCCAAAACAATACACATCTCAAGGAGTTTTGGCTGGTAATCTGATTCGTCAAGCAAGGTTTTTTCATACTTGAGCAAATTTTGTGTTTAAGCAGCTCCATGAAATTGGCCCCAGGCACAAGAGCCATGTTAAACACCAACCACTTTAAATAGCCCTGAAACCCTACTGGTTAAGAAAGAAACCTTAGAATTTAGAGCCTTTACTGAGTACTAATTGATCAGACCGGGAATGTTGGTGCCTGGACAAAGTGATGGCTTGACCACTGAGTGACCAACCCCATCCCACCTGGCTGTGCTCGACTTCTTGTTGGTGGTCCGTCTCGTCTGCTGCCCTCGGTAGAGCCAGAATCCTGTCTTGACCTGTCTCCATTACTCTCGGACGTTAGTTCACTGGATGGATCAACACTCCCATCAGCTAATATGGGAAAAAAGGAAATACATGTACACAGAAATACAGAACACATCTTGAAATTCCTACAAACTTTAAAAGAATTATTGCCCACAAGGAAAACAAAGCTTGATGAAGTCCTTCAATGGGATTGAGATTTTAAAAAAAATTAAAGATGCAGCAGATTTACACCAAGACCAGCTTTAAAATTGAATTTCAAAAATGTACTAAAGCAATCTAAGATCATCCTAGTATTGTTCCACTCACTAACAGGCCAACATCACATTAAGGTTGTGTACTGCTTCGGATATTGTACAGGGCAGGAACTTCACAGAGGCATCAGAAGCCTTGATGCCCCTGGTCTTTGCCTCAATGCCCGTTGAAATGTTCCCACAGACAAGTTGATTTTCTAATGCAAGTGCCCTTTGCAAATGAGAAATTACCTTGTCTTTTCAAGAATGAAGCTCCCACCCTGATTGTGCATGATCCACATTGCAGAAAAAGCCCATCTGTACAGAGCCTGTACACGTACTAGATTTAGCTACATCCTCTCAACAGGAACAAAAAACTTGACTTCAAAACTCTCGACAACTTCCTCTCCCTTCGGTCACCCATCAACTTTTCCTCAAACTTGACCATAGACTAATGGAGCTATTCCAATCCAAAACACTGGACCACCTGCACATTTACCAGAAATCATTGCAGGTGCCAGCCCATGAAACAGTCACTGACCATCAAAGCCTCTACCCCTATAAAAACCACAATTCTCCATCAAAATATTGAACTAATTACTCATGTCTGACCCCTGGTGACCTTGTAATCTGGCAAACGACAATCACTGAGCTGTTTTGCAGCCAAACTGAATTTTTACACAATATGCTTCCAATTCCAAACACCTAAAGTCAAGCTGTCCCAAGAGTAACCGGTCTAAAAAAAGTACATATAGAGAGCAGAGAGGATCTAATAGTTCTGAAGAACAACATGAACTCTGGAATGCATGCTTCAAGACCAACAAACAATGGTTTGGTTCTGGGTGTAAGAATAACTTGCTTAACTCTTTTACCCACAAATCAACACAACTTGTGAGGACGACGTTATGAAGAGGATAATATACAGCTGCCACGGTGTTGTGAAATATACTGCCATTTATGTTGTTGGAAAGTAAGAATTTTATTAACTTTTTAATGCCCGTAAACATTTTGCAAATGAGAAAACATGGGAAAGTACCATTCCACGTGTATTCTTCATGAAAAGCAAGTCAGTGATATGTCAACTGGAGTTTTATCCCTGACTATTGAAAAAAACACACCACAAATAATTATCCAACGTAATAAATAAAATCATGATAAATATGGGTTAAAGAACTACATGTACCTGGCTCCGGCAGAGGGTAAAAAGGTCCCAACCTTGACAAAAAGGAGGGGTTATCAATACACACTCATGTCATGCTGCCCTAGTGTACATGTACGTTGTTTTGTTGAGGCTTTTTAGTAAGTCGACAGGTACATGTATGACTCAACAAGTCTGGGCTTCCTGTTAGGGAAGCTGCAAGGCACTGGCCTGGGTCTCACACCACAACAAGAAGGGACGGACGGCTGTGTTCAGCATGAAACTCAGACAGTGTGACAAGTAGAGGGCACACTTAGCAAAGTGCAAATGAAGAGCAGTGATAAAGCAATTTGTGTACATGTAACTTTGCTCTGACTTTATGCAGATTCATGTGGAACACCAAGTTAAGAATCAATGATAATTAACACTTACAGGCTGAATACAGGGGACAAATATTAGCATGAAACATTTGAAATATAAGAGCTTGAGATACTGGTAGTTAGAACGCCCATCAAGATGGTGGTAGGAAAAGGAACCGTCCACAACTACACAAAAGCTTTTTGACACTGATTTCTTCCACAAACATGCAATACCGGCTTTTGATTGACATTGTAAAATTGTGCTATAATTTAGCTCTTGGGCTGCTATTGAGAGTTTTTTAAATAAACCTGCAATAATAATAATAACTGATTCATGGTGACTGAAAACAACAGCGGCTAGTGCCTGTTTATCAGCTATTGAGACGTTGGAATCATCTGGACACCCGTAAAAAGTGCAGTTACATGTAAAGGCAATGACATCTTAACAAGTTTTAACTTAGTAATCTTGTCAGTTTTCAGTAGAGTAAAAAAAAAAGAGGAAAAAAAAATCCAGGGTCTGTAATTAGACAAGCCATTCTGAATGTCTGAACTTTAACCCATGGGGTAGTTTACTGACAGAAGAGCTACATGTAAGACACACACGGACTGTACAGTACATGTACATGTACATGTACGGTAGGAGCCTGCATAGTAGGGACCTGCATTGCTTGATAGCTGTGTATATTACTGTAAAATGTTGGCCAGCATTGGATAATGTGGCCATCAGGTGAGTTCTTGATTGATCTGTCAATTGCAATATCTGACAGAGTGCAGTGTCCGAGGGTCATAGGATTCTTTTCTCTTTTCCTGCCAATAAAATCAAACATGGGGTATACCATTTTATGCTAATTTCTGTGACCTGGCCAAAGTGCAGCTGGGACGGAAGCGGTATTGTATGGAAACATAATGAGCGATGATTTCTTCTGATTTCAGAGCTGTGGTTTTAAGGAGCAGTTTGGTGCGGGTATTCTTTGACGAGAGGTGGCACAAGGATGGACTGAGAATGGGGGATAATTGGGGGACGGATTCATTTCTCAGGAACTGAGCTGTGTGTACATGTACATGTGATTCTGGCTTCAAGTCACTTGGATGTTTATTGCTCAAGGAGTTGAGTTTCCTGGAAAGATCAATTCCAAAAGCTCTTACTGGGAAGATTAAATGAAACTCCTAGAACAAGCTTGCAGAAAGCTCTCCTGGACGGATGTTTAAAATATTTCATATGCACTTAAAACCTCACATCATCAATCACATGTAGCTGTTTCTTCTTTTTCTGATGATCCATAGATATCGACATGAATGTTTTTTTTGGAAAACCGATTTGTCATACATTGTGGAGAATTCACAAATTATGGAGCCATTGCCTCACCACACCAAATGTTACCAAAATTGGCATTTAGACCACCTAAAAGTCTGCAAATTTATACAGACTCGAAAACACAGATGGTTGAAGCAACGTCAGATGCTTTATTTTCATAAGGTTAAATACATTCAGATTTGTCAAACTGATTGAGATACATTACATGTGCCCATAAATGTACTGCTGTGGATGCCATCGACAGCAACGAGACACCACAACTACCGGTAATTCTACTGTATAATGAGTAGGGCGCAAGTCATCTGCTAACGACAATGCCAGTCCGCCCACTCGCCTCCCTGGGCTGTCTCTTCTTTTGTACATCCCTGCCACAAATTATCACCCAGATTGCTTTTCCAAATCTTTATTACAATTTTGATCATACGTGGTAAGGTATGGCGATTCTGATATTGTTAATCACACACAGTTGCGAAGTGGTAAACATCATGTCACAAATTAAGTGATGCGTGTGCAGAAGCACATTTCAACTAATCAATTAATTAAAGGAAATAAGTGCACACCTGTATCACCCGAAGTACAGACTAATTTGTTTCAATCGTATCCAATTTCAATCAATAACATTCCCGTACACTATAAGTTGGTACACAATTCTCTTTGAATGATCTGAGTCTTTTTACCTAGTGAGATACAGGGTGTGATTACAAATTTCCCTAGCAGAAACAAGCTTACTGTGCATTGGTCCATTAACGTACTGTTAAATGGTCAGACACAATTCACTTTGATTTTCCTGACCAAATTTATTCTGATCAGTTGATTGCTTCACGCACAAAAAATCTTGTGACAACTGAAAAACAATTTGCCCCTCAAAAAGTTACAATCCAGATTAGCACACACATGTACAACAACATGCAAGCACAAGATCATGTTTCAATCCACCCCCTAACTTGATTTTGACACATTTTCTGCTTGGTGGCTTTATGCAATGGCCCGTGTAACTGTGTTTGCTGATGGTGCAAGTCTGTTGTACATGTACACTGCATAAACTGGGGCCTGCATGTACATGTACAGTGCAACCCATGTTCATAAATTACAACCATCATGTACAATACTGAACATGCATACATGCACATGTGTCTTCCCCACACTTTGCATGTATCTCATACGCAACATGTACATGTACATGTTCTCGTTCATGTTCGTACATGTACGTTGTGCACACACCCACTGCACATGTGCACAACCCAATATACTGTACATGTACCAATACAACACCCTCTACCTTGGTCTACCTTGACCCAATACACAGCACCGTCATATCCGTCATATCCGTATCTACATGACATGTACATGGACACGCTGCACCTACTGGGACTGTGCATGAGACGAAAAGGAAGATTCAATATAATTTTCACTTCATATTTGTTTATGCTGAGCAGCCCCTGGTTAACAAACAGATCTGAGAATATGAGGAACCTAGGCTGAAATATTTTAATCAATATTACACTGACACAGTTTCAAAGAACATATTAGTATCATTGAAATACTGAGGCGTTGTTACAAGGAAACAAATTCAGATAAATTATTGGGATATCTGAAAAATTGAAAACAGGTTTGTTATTCCTTGTACAAAAACCCTAGTAAAATTCACTCCTGGAATTTGGAGGGCAATGGTTGAATTATTTTTGGAGAGATTTTTACTGTATCATACCGCTACATGTACGTGTACATCCAATGTACATCTGTACAACTCTCCTCTCATTTCTGCTGTCAGATTCCTGCGAGATGTCCACATCTGTTTCCACAGAACGCCGTCCATGAAAAAGCTACATGTATCTACCATAGGCTACATGAGCATGCATTTTGTTTGGAAAATTATGCATCTCAGCCATTTGGCTCGAGGAAGAATTAGGGTTTTAATCAAAAGGAATGACTACAGTCCTTCAGGAGAAAACCTCCTCCGACTGAATACAGGAATGTCCCTCGCTTTTCATTTCTAAGCTTGCTTATGATGCTGGCTACTGTACCTTCAACATTAAAAATCCAGTCTAAATCCATGAATAAACCTGCAACCCTACCACACGTTATGAACAATAAATGTCTACATTTACATGGAGGTATGCATAATGAACAGTTTACACAATACCAGACAGCAGACAGACAGCTGGATTTGGCCTAAGGCAGAAAGACTGTCTACATGTATATATGTATTTATTCCTCGTCTATTCAAAAGATAAATGTACATGTATGTATTGCAAATCGTCAGACAGGATAAACACTGCATTAAGCAACTTATGAACTGTCTTTTTTTTTTAAACACCGTATGTTTAAAAAAATATGCTTTCAGTGTACATGTACAGCTTCAGATCTTTGATCATTGGGACAGAAGTTCATAATACGTTACTGAACGAACCTACCAAACACTATCTCATACACAAAACATACTGAATGTGGCATCACAGACAATTGCAGATTGTCTGTGACATCTTCTTTCTGAACTGAACTTACAAGCATACATGTACATGAGCAGATTTCTCATCGACATGTAAATCCAATGTCAATCTTACAACTGGCACACAATTTGCTATGTATACACAAAACTGAAATGAAAGACACTTTAGCTCTTGTACCCATGTAAAATGTACAGTATGAGAACGCAGGCCTTCCTCCAGGGCTATTTCAATGCACAAACACCACAGACACTGTATCCATAGTCCTCTCCTTCCCTTTAACACCACTGCTCCTTCCCTTTAACACCACTGCTCCTTCCCTTTAACACCACTGCTCCTTCCCTTTAACACCACTGCTCCTTCCCTTTAACACCACTGCTCCTTCCCTTTAACACCACTGCTCCTTCCCTTTAACACCACTGCTCCTTCCCTTTAACACCACTGCTCCTTCCCTTTAACACCACTGCTCATTCCCTCCCCTCCTGCCCTTCCCCCTCCTTTTTTATCTTCTATTTTCAAAATTTATTTGGATGTTTGTTTTTCACAGTTTTACTGTATTGTTGTTTGTTGAATAAATAATGGCAATAATAGTCTGTTTACTGCCACAATGTAAATATGGGACGGAGAGAACCCCCCCACCTTT